TAGGGGTGAAACAAGCATGGGAAAGTTTTGTTGTTAGACAGTGGTATTTGTGAGACAGTCTTTGCTTAGAATATACATTTGCCTTCCTGTAAAGCCTGTCTTTTTCTCTGAGGTCATGGAGCTTCCTAGAACAAGCAGTAAAGTAAATGATGTTTGAGGGTGAAAGAAATGTCACAGTACATATTATTTTAAATCAAAATATATCTGAGTCCCCATCTTGCCATCTACCAGGAAATTCAGTCCCAGTTCTTTGCTGAGGTTACACAAGATCCAGGAGAATTTCCTGTGCCCAGAAGATACAAGAGGGACTCTTGTCTTCAGTCCATCGTGGTCACTGCTGAACTCCTTAGTGACCAACTCTAAGGTGTCCTTTGAAGGCAGATGGTACAACAAATTGCAGACTTTGCCCTGGTAATAGTTTCTAGTACTGGAAATTCCAGTGCCTAGAGTTCAACCTGTTTTGTACTCCATGTAGTCATTCCTTTGATGTCTTTCTGGAGAATGAAGCTCACATTTCTGCCATTCTCAGAGCCTACTAACATCTTTTTTCCAACTAGGGGAATTTCTCTTTTCTAGAGTTCAGAGTTGTGGGAAAAAGCAAGGAGAAAGATTGTTTGCAAGCAACATGTTTTCCATTCTACAACACACATCTTCCCTAAACACAAAGACCTGACTTAGAAAAAAATAGGTAAACAAAATCCAGATCATTGGAAAGAATAAGTCTTACAACTTCTCAAGGTATCTCAGTTTTATTTGTAAATTGGGGAAAATAACGTTGTGAAGATTGGTTGATAATTAGTGCAGTGCTTTTAACAGCAGTCACTTAACAATGGTAGATAATATTTGCAATAGACTTGTTTTATCTGCCTAATCGTCTTTCTCTGTGACCAGCCTATTTTCCTTTTGAGGGAATGCATCTTCCCCAACTGTTGTAGCCAAATACACCCAAAGGGTGCTGCCATCTTATGATGAAGACCTACGTGCCTAACCGCAATGACAAGCTGGGTAAAGGGTAGCTAATAGTATCCTACTTCCCTGGCCATCAGGACTGACTGGATAAGGGTTAAGCCCGTGGCTCTAGCCATGAATATATGTAAGCCATTAAGTGCCATGAAGGAAAAGGATACAGGGATCCGACGTTGTCAAAGAAGCTGAGTCTAAAGTCGTTGAACCTTGGACAAGTCATTTTTCCATTTTCAGCCTTGAATTTTCCCTTCTGTAAGACAAGAGGATTGAGTGAGAGATTCCAGAAGGACCATATCTGGGCTTTGGCAGCCTATTCTCACTCACCTGCTTCATTTACAGGCTTCCAGTTGCTCTGCAGAAGGCTCAGAGTGTGCAAAGTTCTGTTGTTGCTGCTGTACAGGTTAGAGTGCACCTGCTAATTTGTCTCTTTGCCAGTTATGTAGAAAAAGTAAAGGCAGTTGGGACGAGCTGCCAAGTGAGCACCAGCAAAAATTTGAAAGCCACTACAAGTTTGCAATTCTGAAATCCACAGGGCTCTGAAAACCCAAGCTGCTTCTTGTCTAATTTGGCCACAAAATCTGACCTGAAATTCATGTCAAGACATTTTATTGTGGCCCTATTTCCAGCCATAGGTTTGTTTGAGAATGTGCTGTGGATGTTTTTTGAAATACCGCTAGCCACAAGGGTTTTGGATAAGGGACTGTAGACCTGTACTATTACCTACCTGGTCATTAGCCAGCACTCTCTAGGGACAAAATATTTTCCCTATAAGGTATCTCATTTATAATCTCAACAGACCTACATTGTATCATCCTTATTTTACAAATGGCCAGTTTAGAGGTTTAGCTTACCACAGATTATACAGTAATGGCCAGATGAAGAGGAGAAATCTTGAAATGTGGCTGGATTTGGATGAGCGGGTATGGAAAAAGGTGGTATGGTATTTTAAAAAGCTGTAAATATTTTTAATGGGAGGATTCTGAATAAAATAAGATTTTAGGCTATCCCTTGGTTGAAATGGAGGAACATGAGGTATAGTTGGAGATAAGGAAATGCAGGGCCAGGCACTGTGGGCTTTCAGCTCTTTGTTCTGGAATATTTAGAAGGACTAATAAACAATGTGGCATCAGATGTGCAAGCATGAGATGATTCCACTGCTTTCCCCATTAAACTTATAGGATATACCTTGTGAAGACTAGCATGGATATAAATGACAGTGGTTCAGAAACACTTCCTGTCACATAGATGATGAGTTGACTTTTTGACAAACTTTATGGAAGGAAATAAAGTGATACTGCTAGCATTCATGCCACAAAAATGGGACTCTGACTCTCTGTGGAACCCAGTGGGCAGCTGGGACTCACGCTAGCAATGTGGTCATTGACAATCATGTAATTGTTTCTTCTCTTCTCCCCAGCCTCCCCCAAAATCAACCTGTTTTAGATAGTGGGAGAATGTGTAGGCAATGTGGTCATTGACATCCATGTAATTGTTTCTTTTCTCCCTAGCCTCCCCCAAATCAACCGGTTTTGGAGAGTGGGAGAATGTGTAGGTATAGGATTACACAAGCAATGGGAGATGCTGTTTTCCATAATTTAACCAGGCAACCCTTTGAAGAAATAAAAGTTTTCAAAAATCCCAGAGTCAGAGCTCCCCCAAAAAGCAAGTAAAATGGTACCCTCTACCAGTGATGCAGTACCTGGATGAAAACACATTTATACTACTATTCAGTGGAATGAGGGGCAGTACAAAGGGCAACTCAGGATTTATCCCCAAAGGTAGAATAGAACAATCACTGGAAAGAGTAGCCAGAGTTAGGCCCTAAGCAGAAGAGACAAATGGTTATAGGCTATGCTATAACCTATATGCTAGTATGTTCAGTGAGTAAGGGAAGAGACACTGTGCTTGGATGTGGGTGTATGATGGGGAGGAAAACAACTCGGCCCTCCCCCTCAGGAGGCTTACTGTCAGAGGGGGAAATAGTCTTGCAAAACCAAATGGCACCTGGGACAACTGCTATGAGACTTCTTTAATAAGGGGGTCTGGTCACTTTAAGTCCACCACTCAAAAACTACCATTACTTTTGGTATATGGCCTTCATTAATTTTCCTAACTATACATATACACGAAAATAAATAGATCCCTTTGCCAAAACTGGTATCATTCTGTTCAAAGGTATCTACTACGACTCCCATCTGCTGCAATCTTGAGTTGTTTTATTTTCTAAGCTACTAGCACTAGATACAAGAATTTTGTGGCCAGGTGTGGTCACATCTGTAATCCCAACACTTTGGGAGGCTGAGGCAGGCGGATCGCTTGAACCCAGGAGTTTGAGACTAGCCCGGGCAACACAGCAAGTCCCTGTCTCTACAAAAATAAAAATAAAAAAAAATTAGGGCGTGGTGGCCCACACCTGTGGTCCCAGCCACTTGGGAGGCTGAGGTGGGAGGATCCCTTGAGTCAGGAAGGTTGAGGCTGCAGTGAGCAGCAGTGATCATACCACTGCACTCCAGCATGGGCAACAGAGCAAGATGCTGTCTCCGAAAAACAAAAAAAATTGCAGATGTAGTCCACATACGGTCATAGTGTGTTTTTTAAATGCAAACACTTGTCTACTAACACTAGAGGCAAATGCGCAAGACAACAGAAGAGGCCACACAGCAAAGCAGTTCACAAAGCTTATAAATCAGGCTGTTCGAAAGCTCAAAACCACCAGCCACCCAAGTAAATTTCTGTCATGTACAAATAGATGCTTAGAGGGGATTGAGTACCTTTCAAAAATAAAAAAGGATATACTTAGAATGACTGGCACCACTATTATCTCCTAAGCAGAACTAGTTTCTCATGTTCACTAAGCTACAGCACAGCTGATGACAAGAGTAGACTAAGGGACTTGAAAAGTCCCTCTTGGGAACAAGTTCTTAACCTGAATCTAGATTTTCTGGTCAAGAATTTAAAGTGGCTCAGATCAATCTGTTCTGATGCAGTTCTCTACCGATCTTATTTCTGGAAGAAATCACCCCCAATGCAAGGCCCATATGTTTCCTTTTTTAAAGAGTTTAAGCTCAGACATGGTGGCTCACGCCTGTAATCTCAACATTTGGGGAGGCTGAGGCAGGAGGATCACTTGAGCCCAGGATTTCCAGACTGGCCTGGGCAACATAGTGAGACCTCGCCTCTACAAATAACAACATAAATTAGCTGAGCATGGTGGTGCACACCTGTAAACCCAGCCACTCAGGAGGCTGAGGTGGGAGGATTACCTGTGCCCAAGGAAGTCAAGGCTGCAGTGAGCCATGATCTTGCCACTGCACTCCAGCCTAGGCAGCAGAGACCTTGTCTCAAATAATTTTTTAGAAGTTTATATATTCATCATATTAATACAAAGTCCATTTAATTTCAGGGATCATCTAATTTTGCTAATGAGTGAAACCATTTATTTTAGAACTACCTGAACTCTACAAATATAAACTCCAGTGTGCAGAAAAACACATTTAGCCAACTCTACATTCAATCATTCCTGTTAACAACGATGAGAATACCAAAAAGTGAAATGTTCTATAACCAGGCCAAATTTGCAATAGGCCTCCTCTCTTCCAAACTTCAGAAAATCAGGAGATTCTCCACCTAATAGTAGTGCTCATGGGACAGTAAATGACAAGAAAAAGGGGATGAGTCCTAAATAATCCACAGCTGTTATGGTAGAACCAGCTCTGTAGGAAATATTTTTTTTAAAAGACAATTTCTTAGGGAAAGTCATGCATTTCATGTTGGTTAATTCCAGCAAAGTTTGACAAAAGAAAAATCTTTAGCTAGACCTATATGGCAAAGAGGAAGGTAAATTCATTCTCTTGAGATCATGCCTATTCCTTTTTGCTATCTCTATACTCAGCATATACTTCTACCATTAACACTTACCTGCTGCCTTCTTGAATAGGGCATGCCACATCTCTGAAGCCACAAGCCAAGCATAGTACCCGGTACAAGTATAGGCCCAAATGTTTGCTGGATATTAAAAGTATATGGAAACATAATGAAAGCTTGTCATCACTGACATTTAATTGTGAAACCATCACCATCAATTTGGACAATTAGAATCCATCTCCAGTTTACGTTACTCTTCACAGAATAGCCTTTAAGTGTGTTCAAATTACTTACTACTCAAGAGCAAGCAAAATGACATTTTAAGTACATTATACATTCTATAATTCTTTATACAAACTAGTATAAAGACAAACTGAAATTAAAAATAATCATATTCAGAAAAGGAAAAACACGTCCGTATAGTTGTCAAAAGATCAGCACAATACTAAGGGTACATAACGAGTTTATGGAAAACTGCTATTAGAAAAGAAAGAGGTTAATCAGATATGCAGATACATGAAAACAGTCTATAAGTGGATGGATGGATGGGTGGAAAACCCTTTAAGATTTTGCAAAGGATGAACTCGATATTAAAGGAGTTAATTTTTATGGTAGAAAGTTTTATCAGTAGAATTATGTGATACAGAAAAAGTCATTTTGAGAGAAAGTCATTTTTAGAATAAAAGGTTAAAATTTGGAAATTCGTCCTCTTCTCTGTTACATGGTTTTCCATACTGGCATTTTTCATGAATATGGATTATAGTTGGGAAAACCTTGTATCTCTGATTTGGTGTTTAGTTACACACCCCTAGGGTCATCATCACACGTGTAAATATTGCCTATGGAAATTCACCAGCCCTCCGTTATTCCAAGTGCCCACTCCTAATTGTCCATTGATAGCAAAGCAAATATTGTGACAAAACAAGTTTTATTTTGCAAAACATAATGTGATACGAACTCCACTACAAAATAAGGGAACAAATTATTTTTAAATTATATAATCCAGCAGAAGAGAAACAGTGAATGGAGGTCTAGGGACTGAAAGGATCTCTTGTGGCAAAGGGAAAGAAGACAAAAATACATCACCCAAGATGAGGTAAAGGGGACCAAGAACCACTGAAAAAGTAGTGCAATATGTCCAGGAATAAAAGAAACAGACTATATATATATATTTGCATTGTCAATAACATGCATCATTCAAACAATCTCTTAATAAAAACTTAGTGAATTAATCTAATGAAAATATTCACACAATATTATGTAGGCAAGTATGTTTAAAAAAATACTTTAATAAGCATATTCAGAATGGCAGACGGGATGGGAGAAGGGAATTATTTTACAGTGCAAAATTACTATGCATAAATTTAACATCTAATTTGAAATTTTAAATGCCTATTTAAATATTCAAATACATTTTAAAGCTCAACAAACTTGTGTTGAACTGAATTGCCGATCCTGAACTCTATTTAAAAATACATCATGAAACAGAAAATACCCATTCCAAATGAAAATGATAGTGCTTTGTTGGGGGTGGGAATGAGGTGGGGAGACTAAATCACTATTAACAGACTTCTTTTCCCAATGCAGTTTGTCAAAAGTTCAAGTTCTGAAATGTACTAAATCTTAAGCAAATTAAATTCATGATATTACTAAAAATTTTTAAATAGTGCAATGACTTATCAAGTTATAGTGGCTGCATTAAGAACAAATTATTGTGTGAAATGCCTGTATTAACACAAAATACAATTAAATACTTCCTTACAAAAAGCTGAGCATTACGCATTATAATAGTGGAATGTCTCATTAGGTATATTTTTAAAAGATTAAGAAAAGCAACATTTCCTAAAATGTATACATGTGCCATATTTGCCAACATGCCTGAGAATTTACTTAAAACGTTTCTGTAGTAAGAGTTTGCAAGAACTTCACAATCTGCAAATAAAATGCATCTTTTTAAAAAGGTGAAAATGGCATCTCCAACACTGCAACAATTCAAAAAGCACAGCATCACTAATCTTTAAAAACATTTCTATATACCATCTTTGACAAAGAGCTAGGATACTTTGGATTCATTTAATAAAAAATGATTTAGAAAACAGATTGTGACCATCTGCTTGCTAAAGCTACTGCCATTCTGGATAAATTAAAGTTTTAAGTAAAACAAAACAAAAACAACAAAAAACTCACACTTCTCAACACTTCCACCCAAAATTCTGATTTACTTAGATATGTATGTAACAACAGTGAATGTACATTAATATGAAGTCAAGTGTTGCAAAGTGGCTTTTAACACTGTTTGGGGGAAAAAAAGTTGTTCACATTGGTGAAGGGAAGCGGTCTCAACATATGTTAACAGTAATACTTCATGGGGGTAAGGCCTAAACGATAATTTCTCAGTGCAAACCTTCACTCAATTGCATCAGACAGTTGAGCCATTAAAAACAAGACCACAAAAGCTTTATTTTAAAAAGGCATTGGCTCTTGAACTGATGGCTGAAAAGTGAACTGGAAGAAGCATTTGGAGTATGCCTGTGTGAGAAAAACAAGAATTAATAATATTTTATAAAAGTTTGGATATAGGTTGGTCTATCAGCTATATAAAACTACATTTTTTAACAAGAATTTAGCACTAAAAATAAAATGGCACTCTTACAAGGCTATGCAGACGGATAATCCTATTTGTATTCACACAGAGCAATGATTATTGTGTATCTTATTTTCACTTTGGAAAAGCATTGTCAAATCTGAAAAACTGGATTGTAACTAGAAAGTCTGAGTAGTTTTCAAACTTCACTTTCTCTTCATAAAATCAATACTGCCTGCCCACAGTTGTTCCTTGTGTGCCAATATCTAAGTATCACTTGACCCCTCCTCTGTTTATTTAATGCAGAAATGGGAAATTTTATGATGCATATAAAAATAACAGGATTCTGGTCAGCATGATATATTTAAGCACTTAAGCTGACATTAAACTTTTGTCTTGCTTCAAAAATAATTTTGAAAATTATAGCAAATGCAAAACAAACTGCAATCTAAGCATCATGCTTAATTTCAGAATTCTCAAATTACTTGCCCTTAAGTAGAAATCTGAAAAAAAAAACACAAATTTTTATAATCCTTTATGAATGCTTTTACCACCTGGATAAGAAATATGACTTAATTACTACACAAACACTTAAAAATTCATTAGAAAAACCTTAGCAAAATAAAATGAAAGCTGACAGACTCAGAATAACAATTCCTCTCATAAAAGTTTACCAACTGTACAAGTTAAGAAAATTATACAAGCTTTTGTATTAAGAAAGGACAGCTCAGTCAAGACATATGTACTGTAAAAATCTTTCAAAGGCTACAAAGAATCTGGAAAAATACAGAATGTATTTCTTCAGCCCAGATAAGAATATGGAAAGACATCATTGATGTCAACAATTTTACATATACAAACCTGACCTGGTTTATTTTTAAACTTCTATATATAAAAAAATCATGCTAGCATAATTTTCAGGATTCATAAGGGTTTCCTTAATAAAGATATTCAAATTGTTTGGTGAGAAAAAATGTCTGTTTTAAAGACAACTCAAGAGAAACTGGTATTAATTGGACTTGAGTTTTTTCCCATTCCTCCATCAAACTAAGCAAAAATTACCTTGTAGTGAAATTTTATGATTAGCATCAAATGAGAAGGTAGATATCTTTAGTTCATTCAAATTTACTAATTTTTAAAATACCCTTATAAGAGTCTGACAGCTTTAAAGTAAAAAAATCTGCAAAAGGCAGAATTATGAAACTTCATTTCCTAAAGTTAAGACTCAATTCAAATTTTCAAATTGCTTCAAGGAAATCAACTTTTTAAGGTAACCCATCAACCCTGAAAATTTTAGTCACACCAGAATTTACTCCAAAGAAAGTAAAATAGGTCTAAAATTTAGTCATCTGTGTTTTCAAGTTCTTCAAATTTCCCATGTGAGATTGCTTCTTGGAAAAATTCAGAAGAACCTGGACTTTCTTTTCCATTGCTGTTTACCCTTCGCCTTTTGGCAGGTCTCTCACTTTTTTCATCAAAATCATTTTCATTTCTTGCAGTCATATGGGCAAGTTTTGGGTCAGTGGTAAGGTTATCTGTTTCATAACCATTAGTATCCATATCTGCATGAAGTGGTTTCTTATTTCCACCTGTTGGTCCATTAATGTGTAACCCTTCAACTTTTACTTCCTCTTTGTTTAATATTTCACCTGGTCCATTAGATGACACTCCTAAATTGAAAGAAATATAAATGAAACCACAATTAGAAAAAAGTTAAATTTGCAAACTGTTATAAAACAGCTTATTGTAAAGTTGTTATTGTTACCAAGGAAGCAAGGTATCAAATCTATATATACATAGTCTAAATTCTTGCTCTATTATTTATTAGCTATGTGGCCTTAGGCAAATTATTTACTCTTTCTGTACCTCCATTTCATTACATATATACAATAAAGATCAAAACAGATATTCCTCACAGGGTTGTTGTGAAAATTAAATAAGTTAATAAATGTAAAGAACTAAGAACAGAATTTGGCATATGTTAAAAGCATATTAGGTATATTTGACAGCAAATAAGCACTGGATCCAGCAGTCTAAATAAGCTGACTTAATGCAAAATGCAATAAATTACTCAGATTTAACAAAAGGTTTTCAACATTCTAAACCCACGTAAAAGCAAAATGAATGCTCTTTCTCATAAAAGCTTGAGAAACTGCCATATAAAGGCAAGATGTCATGGCTTTTTTATTCTTAATGTAAATCTATAGTAACTGTTTTAATCACACATGGCTGGGTGCAGTGGCTCACGCCTGTATTCCCACCACTTTGGGAGGCCAAGGCAGCTGGATCACAAGGTCAGGAGTTCGAGACCAGCCTGGCCAACAGGGTGAAAACTTGTCTCTATTAAAAGTACAAAAATTAGCCGGGTGTGGTGGTGTGCACCTGTAGGCCCAGCTACTTGGGAGGCTGAGGCAGAAGAATGGCTTGAACCCGGGAGGCAGAGGTTGCACTGAGCCGAGATTATGTCACTGCACTCCAGCCTGAGCGATAAAACGAGACTGTTTCGAAAAGAAAAAAAAGATCACCCACTATTTACCCTAAGTAGACCCTAAATAATCTGTCATAATGTTAAAAAACTAATGCTGCACTATCCAAGCATATACTTGAAAGTGCTGAATTATTAAGTAAAATACAAATTACTTAAAAATACAAAGTCTTCTATAATAGGTGAGAAAAGTAAAAGCAAAATTATTCTAATAAAAGAAAACAAAAGTTTATTTTAGAGTTGACTGTAAAATGGAATGCAAATGTTGGTGATAAGTAAAATACAGGATGCATCACTGAATTACAATTTAATTGCTTGAAAAATATTCGGCATAAAGGATGAGCCTCAAATACTGTATTTTGATTAAAGAAAATATTCTATTTTGAACAACTCAAAAATGCACTCAAATCATGAATGCACATGGGGATTATGCATCATAATATACTGAGGAGAACAATTCTGTAGGAACAAGTCCAAAAAGCCAGCTGAGACTGTGATTAGGTCAAAAATAACTGTAAGATTTCAAAGTACTAATTAAAGCCCCATATAAAAAAGTAATAAAATATTGGGATGAAAAGTTCCTTCCTTTCTTTGAAAAAGCTGGTGGTCTTGACTATACATAATGTGAGTGGTTTTTGAGCTACAAGTAATTTGTAAGTAACTTATGAACACTTTCCTAGCCTAACAGCATGTTCTCATCAAACAGATTTTTAAAAAGGAAAAGAAAATGATTTATTTGGTGTTAATATGTTAAGAACAAACAGGAAAAGCAGTAGTAGTGCCAAGTGTCTGCCTCCCTAAGCCTATACCGTTAGTCCCAAGGTCAGAGTCTCAGCATCTTACTCTGCTTCAGAATGGATGTGACAGACATTAGATATTAAGTCAATAAACCTTGGAACAGGACATAGTTACTGGGCCCTAAGTTCTGTTTGTATGGTTTATTCTTAGAAGTAGTGAGGGAACAGAGAGGGGTTATGAAATGAACTAAGCATATACACTCCAGCAGTACCAATGTGAGACCAAAGGTCAGAAGAGGATCAAGGCTTTCACAGTGTTTCTCTTCCAGTTTCGGTCAGGAAGAAGTCAGCTCTTCACTGGTACTCTCCTATCACTAGTTTCCTCAGAGGAGCTGGGGGTGCAGCTTATTACTTTCTTCTTGGAACTCTTTTATTTAACAAGACCATTTAATCAAAGAAGAAATCAAAATAATTCTCTGGCTCTTACTATTGATCAGCACAGTGATCTCTGGTCCACTGTATATTTTAAACAGAAACACTATCTGAACCTCAAACAATTGGTATGCCTTTTTCTCTTTTTCTTGGAGAGAAAAACAAGTATTTCTGTAGAATATTAATGTACAGGTTGATACTGACTTTATCTTTTCTCATTCTTCAAGGTTATTATGCTATCAAAGAGAACTTAAATATTCAAAACAGTGCACTTGTTACCTTACATCAAGGTATTTCATAATTATCTGCAGATCTCATGTGAAACTGCAGGGTTTTGACCTAAGAGTTAACATAAATACTTGTATCTAGCCATCAACCCAACTATATAGACAGGAAAAGAGATGCTACTGAAAAAGAACACATTTCTTAGAAGAAATAGTCACTGTTGGTAGTATGCTTTATTAAAATCACTTTTTAGTGATGTCCAATCACTTTGTATTGTTAGTATATATGTATGCTGATGTTATGTATGTTTCATGTGTTATCATTTTTTACTTTCTGCTCTGGAAGTTTAATAGAAACCCAAACTGAATTTCCCAAGTCACTGAAAGAAAGTGTCTCTTATTACGAAGAAAGAGAAATGTTTCTCTGGTTGCTTACCATTTTGATTAGTAGTGCTTACAGTGCCATCTTCTTTCTCAGACTGGCTGTTACTACTATTTGATGCAGTTGGGGGAGGGGATGGTGCTCGACTAGATGCAGCGCTTTCACTTTCATCTAGAAGACGATCCATGTAATCCCTTAAAATTAATAAAACATTTTTATATTAAAAAGCTGAAAATTAAAAATTAGTTGAGGTTAAATTTAGAATGCTTTATTAACAAATATATCCTAATATTCACTTAACATTCATTCCAGTGCTTTATCTATCACACGAGGATCTGAATATTTAAATGATAAGCTCCTTTTGGTTATAGGAAAAATGCATAAAGGCTTTAAAGTAACAAATTTGAGAGACCCATAGGAAATTTTAAAGCTTGTAAAGTTGTAGGCAAGTGCTCAGAGTGGCCCAACTAGAACTAGAAGATCTCTTAACTTAAGTGATAGGGGTGATGTCTAGCAAAAGTACAAAAGAATTTCTGTACAAATACAGATTGAATTTTAAAGCTCCTAAAAGCAATGCCTAAAAGACAAATTTGAGCCTTTTAAAAGGGCTGATTACCTCCTAAAACCTTCCTGGATATTTTTGGTATTATATTTCTGCCAGATCTGAGCTGTAAGATGCTAACTAAATTCCTGGGATTATCTGGTGGTTTTACCCTGTCACTTTCTCATTGTATGTGAGCTCATTTCTTCTCTAAGTCATTCCTGAACTACGTAACTGTGGTTAAGTGACACAGGTGAGAAGATCTGGGATAGAGCCTTTTCTCTCAGGTTTAGTGTATTAGCTATAAAATGTAGATAAATCATACCTCTCCTATCTAACTCACATGGTGACTGTATTATATATGTACATAAAAATGTTTCATAATCCAAAAAGTGCTACTAAACCACTAGAATAAAAGTCAGCAAACTATAATATTTATTCTCTACCTCTTACAGAAAAAGTTTGCTGATACTAGATACTGCACTAGATTCCCCAAGGACAGGGATTTTTAGTCTATTTTGTTTATACCTGCACCACTGGTACCTAAGGTGTGCAAGGCACAGAACAGAAAGATCAATAAAATTTTAATTGTGTTACTTATCTTAAAATTCCTTCAGCGTAAGCATGATAGAAATATTAAGACAAATCTCTTAGAATTTTGTGAGCAGGGTAAATAAAAAGCAAACAGTGGAAGCTCTGAGGAATTTCCTGAAAGTGTGTGTTAATAGTCTATAATATGCTATTAATTATATTTATCTCAACCTATATGGTCATCACTGTCTCCTAGGTTATAGGGATTTAACAAATATAGGGATGTGATACCTGACTTCAAGAAACTTCTAATAGTCTGAGGTATAAAACCAATACATACTTACAATTTACATTCTATGCCTTATTTTCCTCATCTATAAATGAAGGGAATTCAATTAGATGGTCTTGAAGACCTATAAATCTATATAGAATTAAATTATATGGTCTTGAAGACTTCTTGAGCTTTATGCTATTCATCATAATTATAGAAAAATTACATAAACAAATTTGAAGCACACAGACATAAGTGTGATGAGTCCCAAAAGGACTTCAGGTGCTAAGGCTAACAGAAGATGCATGATGAGGAATTGCTGGAAATAAATATGTTATGGTGGGAATGGATAAGATGAAGGAAGTTAAAAGCCAAAGCAAGGCCTGGCATGGTGGCTCACACCTGTCATCCCAGCACTTTGGGAGGCCGAGGTGGGCGGATCACCTGAGGTTGGGAGTTTGAGACCAGCCTGACCAACATGGAGAAACCCCGTCTCTACTAAAAATACAACATTAGCCGGGTATGGTGGCACATGCCCGTCATCCCAGCTACTCGGGAGGCAGAGGCAGTAGAATCGCTTCAACCCGGGAGGTGGAGGTTGCAGTGAGCCGAGATCATGCCACTGCAGTCCAGTAGCCTGGGCAACAGGGTGAGACTCTATCTTAAAAAAAAAAAAAAGCCAAAGCAAAGGAAACAAGAGTTGATATCAAAATTATTTTTAATTTCTGGATATAGTCCATAATTCTGTGGAAGGATAGTAATTATTATCAATATTTCCTAAAGATTAACAGCATCCAGAATGTTCAGGAAAGGGCAGAATCAGACAAACCATCCAGAAAGCTGGAGCAGCATTCGGGTAACCAAAGTTACACTGAGTTAATTTTTAGTTTGTGGAAAAATTTGGAAAGCTGAATATTTTACAATGAAATCTCCAATAGGGCTCCCAATTCTTCCAGTAAATAGGGACAATGTGTAGCAGAATCTTTCAAAGGCTGTTTGTAGGCAGAAAAGGGGAAGATGTGTTTCATTCTGGTGAACAAATGGAAGGTCAACAATTTAATGAAAAAATGAACAAATGACTTTCAGGATAATGTGCTCTGAATTATGGATTTTGACCTAAAAAGGAGGATGAGATAATTCACTCTAATTTCTCTCTGAACACATCAGCTTAATGTTTTATGAAGTCACTTAAAGTGCAGCTATTAACAGGCAGAGATGGTTCTGGAAGCAAATCAGAAAAATTTATCCCCATCTGGAAAGAAATGTACTATTTGGTCACTGCTTCTTATAGAAGACATAACACAGCTAAAAGGGAAGAGTCTCAGCACAAAAGTATGATTCTTTCAGTTAAATAAACTTTATTAAAAAAACCCAGTGGGGCTACAACTGAAGCCTACAAAACCATGGTATTCCTGCCTGAGGGAAAAAACACATTAGTTCACTTCATACCATTATACCAGGTGACCACTATTAAGATATTGTTTACTTTTAACTGTGGCCACTCTACCTACAGAATATTTAACCTTAAGAGTCATCAAAGTTACAGATAAAAGTATCTTCAAAAAGTTTTCAGAAGCTACAGGGAGATCATTAGAGAAATTAGAACATTTGGTGGCACGTCCCTACCTAACCTGTTGAGCTTGATATCACAGAGGACAAACTAAGCCAGCCCACACTTTGGTGATGCTTTCTGAAAGAGAAAACTGGATGAACCATGGGTCTGACCCAGCATGGCCGTTCTTATGTGGTTACTGCTGATGATTACAGACTGACTGTAGCTCATGTGTGAACATTATTTCTGAAATGGTTGAAAAAAATGAAAGATGTTACTATTGCTTTTCCCTATATAACAGCTTGAAAACCATGACTATTTTAAGATATATCTGCAGACCAGATAGCTAGCTATATCTAATTCTACATTATTATGCTTGAATACTACTAATAAAAAAAATTAACTATAAATTTAATATTAAGCAATGAGATAAAATTTGGAATACTGCTATTTATGAAATTCCACCTTAGCAATCACCAGCTTTGAATAATGGGGGATGATGTACACAGTCCATTGTCCTGTGATTTCCAAGGGTGAATCATACCCATTTATTCCCTTTCAGATTATTTTACTGTGGGCTTTAGAGCATTTGACCTTCTAAGGAAGTGACCAGCAGAGATACCTACAAATGAACTTGACAAAGAAACAGTGCAATCTAGGACTCTGAAAAGCAAGATCAAATAAGCATACAAGCACATCTTTCTTTTCTTTTTTTTTTTGGAGACGGAGTTTCGCTCTGTTGCCCAGGCTGGAGTGCAGTGGTGTGATCTCGGCTCACTGCAACCTCCGTCTCCTGGGTTCAAGCAATTCTTCTGCTTCAGTCTCCCGAGTAGCTCAGACTACAGGCGTGCACCACCACGTCCGGCTAATTTTTGTATTTTTAGTAGAGACGGGGTTTCACCATGTTTGTCAAGCTAGTGTCGAACTCATGACCTTGTGATCCACCCACCTTGGCCTCCCAAAGTGCTGGAATTACCACAGTGAGCCATTGCACCCAGCCCAAGCACATCTTTTAAAGGTAATTATTTGGTCAGCTTTAAGAACATCTTTACTGGAGAACCTTGACTAAATCACAGCTTTGCATTACTTTTTAATTCTGTAAACATTAGGGAATAATTAAGAATAGTATGTAAAGTTAATTCCACCATAACAATCACCATTTTAAAGCAATTCATGAGAGAGAAGGGGTTCAATACTCTTTCTATTTAAGTAACAAATTGCCAGTGGTAGTGGAATGTTTCACTCCAAAGCTAGACTGAATGAGGTGGAAGACAATAAATTCTCTTAACATGGGAATAAATTAGGCATATCAGACATTTTACATAAAGAATGGATGTAACAACCCATATCTGTCACTGGGACTAAGCTAGAGTTGCATTACTAATTCTCAAATATTACTTGTTAAAGATTCCGGAAAGCTAGGAAAAGGAAAGTCACCATATACATATTTTTTTTCCTCTATAAAAAACTGTATGCCAGGTGCAGTGGCTCACGCCTGTAATCTCAGCACTTTAGGAGGCCGAGACAGGTGCATCATTTGAGGTCAGGACTTCAAGACAGCCTGGTCCACACAGTGAAACCCTGTCTCTAATAAAAATTCAAAAATTTGCCAGGCATCATGGCGGGCACCTGTAATCCCAGCTACTCGGGAGGCTGAGGCAGGAGAACCGCCTGAAGCCAGCAGACGGAGGCTGCAGGGAGCCGAGATTGCACCATTGCATTCCAACCTGGGCAACAGATCAAGACTATGTCTCAAAAAAAAAAAAAAAGATTAAATCTGTATGTGCTTATACTGAATGGAACTGAATTTAAGAAAAACATGGTTTCACAGCTGTTCTGATCCATTTCTTCTCAACGGTGTATTAAAAACATACATTCTAAACCTTGCTTTAATGATATGCTTGTCTCATAATATGAACTGTAGTTTACAATATTTCATAAGACACTGAAAAGTCTAAATGCCTTATTTATGAAGATATAATAGATGGTAAAGTTTAATGTATATTATAAAAGCAAGATTGTATCGCTTCTCGGCCTTCTGGTTAAGATCAAGTATATAAAAGCAAGATTATCAAAATCATAACTCAAGAAAAATCTAGAAAAGCTTAGCAAAAATGTATACATAGCTCTTAAGGAAAAAATTAACTCACGTTACACCAGGATGAAGATTATATTTCTTTTTTCCAAATCGTGTTTGCTGAGCAAAGAAATCATAACGTTCAGATTTTTTCCACATGTAATAGAATGCTACACATTCACCAACTGACCTTGTTCGGACCTATAAGAAACAATTGCTTGTTTTTAAGAATCTCCTTTTTAACAAAGTTACCTCATGATAAACATCTGAAGTTCGAAAATAAATTTGGCTAGTCCTTAACTGATATATAATCCTATATATAAAATACAACACTGTAGCATCTATGTTGAAAGCTATTCTTTCTAAATGTCTATTAAGAGAAATAATATACTGGCAACAGGTCTTCAGATATATAGCACTGTGCTTTTTAAAAGGCTACCATCATCCTAATTTACTAGAAAAATATACTCCTGTATTAAAAATGCGTGGAAGTTGGCCAGGCGTGGTGGCTCACGCCTGTAATCCCGGCACTTTGGGAAGCTGAGGGGGGTGGATCACGAGGTCAGGTGTTTAAGACCAGCCTGGCCAAGACGGTGAAACCCTGACTCTACTAAAAATACAAAAATTAGCCCGGCGTGGTGGCAGGTGCCTGTAATCCCAGGTACTCGGGAGGCTGAGGCAGGAGAATCACTTGAACCCCGGGGGGCTGGGGGTGGGGACAGAGGTTGCATTAAGCTGAGATCACGGCACTGTACTCTCACCTGAGTGACAGAATGAGACTCCGTCTCAAAAAAAAAAAAAAAAAAAAGCCTAGAAGTGACATTCAGGTTAAAATAAATGTTATAAACAGTTTGCTAATACTTTTACTCACAGAGTACGAGTACCTAGAGAGTGTATCTTTAAATTCCCTTTTGATAGATTCTCTTACTAGTCCCAACAGCAATCCAGACTCAGTTAATTTACTCTCTAGAAAGTCTGGGAAGATGCCACAGTGAGTTAAAAGTATAATAACGCTAATGCTTTGCTTACTAAGTTAACTCTTGTGGCTTACTTTGCTGTACCTATTTGTGCAACTGAATGGTTCCCCTCACATAATGTTAAATGCCTGTGGAATTAAATGATGCTGACAGAATCCCTTTTTGCTACTTAGCCACCAGGAGAGCTGGTGGTAGGGGTGATGTACATACATAAAATGCTGAGAATTTAGGGCTGATGTATATAAATAAAATACTGATAACTTTTTTCCTTTTTTTTTCTTTTTTTTTTTGGAGACAAGAGTCATGCTCTGTTGCCCAGGCTGGAGTGCAGTGGCGCCAAACCAGTAACTGCAGCCTTGTCCTCCCAGGCTCAAGCAAAACCTCCTGCCTCAGCCCCTCAATAACTGGGACCACAGGTGCAAGGCACCACACTCTAGTAATTTTTCTATTTTTTGTAGAGATGGGGTTTTGCCATGTTGCCTAGGCTGTTCTTGAACTCCTGGGTTCAAGCAATCTGCCTGCCTCAACCTCCCCAAGTACTGAAATAACAGGTATGAGCCACTGCACCAGCAATACTAACAATTTAAAAGGAAATCCTGTGTGTGTATGTGTTTTGGATGCAACATACTTCTTCATCCCATAAATTTCTACTCTTGAAGTAAATATTCTATAGCACTGATTGCACCTGAAGGACAAGTGTTGATGATACCCTCCATTACCCAACATATATTTTGCTTTCTTCCTGTTTGCACTTTACAGCTCTGATCCATATTGCTCTGAGATTGACAGCAATCAGGACTTTTAAAAAAACCATCCTCTCAAGCTCTTTTTTTGTCTCCTCTAGGATCTTATTTCTAGATAGATTCAAGCTAAGTCAACTGTACTTTACTGAAAGCAAAAAGATAAAGTCATTTTGGGGCATGCAAAGTTAAGATTACGAAAAATCTTCAACAAAAGCCCTCATAATAGAACTTATGATTAAGATCTGAACTTTAATTCCAGATATAAAAACAAACCTGATAATTTTCACTAGAGTACTCTTTTCCCTTTTAAAGAATTACTGTCCTCTTTTTGTTCACGAATTTAGTATATTATGTAGAGGTTGGCTGACTTCTACCTTGTAACATTTAAATGCCACTGTCCCAAATATTTATAAGAAATCAAGGTTATACTTTTAATACTTATGTTATTTGGCTCTAAGTTTCAAGTCACCTAGTAATTTCTTAGCTCCTTTAAAAAAATCATATTGGTCAGGGTTGTTGCTGCTGCTTGTTACATCAGCTATCATTCCAGGAGTCCCTTCCTTAGGTAATTCAGCATGGTTTGGTTTAGAATGTTTTAATTCAAGCAGAAGTGCTAAACAACAACAACAACAACAACAACTACAACAAACCTCATCCAAAAATGTTGTCCCTTTCAATCATGAAACAATGAACTTTTTTCTTTTTTAATCAAAAACATACATGGCCAGTCACATAATGCACCCTTTTCTTGAATGTTAACTATATTTGAGGTTATCAGATGATATGAACACAACATTAAGGGTATACAATTTTGAAACTACATTGTCTTCTAAGTTATCCTAAATGCTAAAACTAAAAATTTATCTATCAGTGTTATCTGCGGTAAACTGCCAACATTCAACAAAATAATTAAGAAAGAACTAGTTGGGAGTGGGGCTCTTCACTGCCCAGTTCCTGCTTTTTTTTTTTTTTTTTTTTTAAACAGAACAACAATAACTAGTTAATGCATGACAAAATTTAAGAAATGAACCCACAGGGTTTGTAAATAACTTTTATTAATAACAAAAAATATTAAATATGTGTCAAAAAAATCAACTGGATACAATCCAATCACACCCAGATGTATAAAAAGACAGATGTGGTAGAAGACTATTCAGAGCCTCCCCCAGGTACTTTCAACAAGGTCGTGGACAAGCTACGACACAAAACTTAGAAGCTATCTTTAAGGAATTACATAAACCAATACCCTTGTCATTTCTACTAACTAAAAATAATGTGATAATCATAAGCCTAGGAATTTCCTACATTTAATCCCCAAGACTTTAATTCTGCCTGTCCTAATCTGTTGTCCTAATGAGTTACTCATGGAAACAACACATTTTTCTATTCCATATAATTATATAGTTACTATTAAAAATCATACCTAATTTCAGTTATAAGAATTAAGCCCTAAAACAAATTTGTAAGTAATTATAAAGTTATTTGGAGTATAAATTACATGACTGATATTATCAACATGAAATGATAAATGATTATGTTAAATAAAATCCTCAAATTATAACTATAAGAATATAAAGCTGATTTATTGACACAGAAGCTTCTACAAAATTAAATTAAATGTTGACTAAAACTAAGTTAAATATTAAGTATTTGATTTTAGACCACTTGGGATTTAAGCAAATGTAATAAATATTTTAATTGCAAATAATGTCATGTTGAAAGTGCCTTAAAGTTTCCAAATTATTTCAAAGGCCCTCCATAAAATATTTAGTCACAGACTGTGGACAACAGCTATAAAGAATTGCATTGCACATACACACCCCAACTAGAAGATGATTAACATGCTTGTAAATGAGTGCAATTCTTAAACACCTGCAATATGATGCACTGAAAACAGTCACCAACAGGTAATTATAGGTTAGGAAGTATAGGCAGCTTTACTGTAATTACTCACTAAATACCAAAATATTGTCATATTAATGATGAAACCTTTAACACTAGACAACATAGCAAATTAAGACACATGACCATTTGAGTTGTTCAACTAAATTTCTTTTTGCAAAAAAAGAGATTATCATTACTTACTTTATTAGCCTGAATCAAATGAAAATCCTTTCCATAGGCCTTCAGACCTTGTTCAAAATTTCTACACTCTTCCTCTGTCCAAACAGATAATTCCTCTGACAAGATGGGAGGAACAAACTGTTAAGCAATATTTCCCCAAATATTGCATAAAACAAAACTACAAATGAAAACTTAACTTTCTGGTAAAAATGAGGGAAACATTTTACTCCTGAGCTCTATTACTAATTGTTGCAAAAGATAAAGTGACAACAATTCCTTATTTAATAAGATTTTGAATGATTTGGTCCCTACCTCTCAAGCTTCAACTTGGGCCACTGTCTTCTTAAAGCTTCATGATCAAACTATCTTAGTCACCTTTCAATTCTTTAAAATTGCCACGTTCTCTCTTACTTCAGACTTTGTGCATGGTGTCTCTCCTTTGCCTGTAATTATTTCTTGCCTCCACCTCATCCCCTTTCACTGAGATAATTCTTTCCCATCCCAACACAAATATCACTTCATTCTGAATGCTTTCCCTAAAAGCACTACCCTCTCCCCCAACTAGGTTAAGTCCCATTACTACAGGTTTCAATAGCACCCTCTAATTTTCCTTGAAGAATTCATCAGCTGTTTTCCAGTTTCCCTACCTAAGCTCTAAGCACCACAAGGGGAAGGGACTTTGCTTATAGTTACATCCTCAGAACTCAGAAGGCACTCAAATTTTTGTTAAATAAATATCTCTCATTTGTTACTTAAATATATATAAGTAGTAATCTTAGTGAAGGGGGGTAGGAGCCAGATTTAGTATAAAAAAGAAAAATCCAAATTTTAGTCACGGCTTCATTACTGATGAATTATGTTTGCTTTAGCCAAGTTACTTCAGTTCAGAGATCTCAGGCTCATCAACTTTTACCTTTAAGTAAAGGTATTATCTGTCATACTACCTAGTTCACAGGGCAATTATCAAGATCAAAAAAGAAAATATTTATAAATATGCCTTGAATGCACAAGACAGTATAAATTTTTACATTTTTACTTACGTGATCGTATTTTCCCACAAAGAAGGAAGGAACAGTCTTATACCCCCATAACGACTTGTATAATACTTAGTATTTTGTAAATATTTATCAAACTCAGAAAAATCAGTATTATTAAGTTTAGGCTATTATACCTAGGTAAACTGAAAAGCTTACTTTTAAAATTTCTGCCAAATCATGAAAATAAATAAAAATTATACTTACCTCTAGCTGCTTTTACATTAAATCTTAATCTTCTCAATGCTTCTTCTGTATCAAAATTGCATTTAACCAATTCATATAAAGCCTAGAAAAATAAAAGGCTTGAATATGTGACAAGGACTATAAACAGTTCAATGCTACAAGAGTAAACGTTTTTCAAAAATCCAGTGTTCTCATTCTTTTTGAGGGCAAATAACTTTAGTGACTAGAACTTCAAAGAAAAACAAATATGAATTTGATCCTGATAAATTAACTACCTTTAAATATGTACAAAGTAGGATATGTAAAAACTTGGTGGCCATAGTATCCAAGGAACTAAAAGGAATTCATTTTATATCAATGAAAATCCCTTCTTTGTGGCTTCTTGAGATTCCTATAATTTTAAACAAATCAGAAAAGAAAAACAATGATTAAAAAGGTAAAAAAGATAGGTTCATGGCAGGCTCTGGTCTTACCATGTACATAACATTATCTGAGGTGAGAATTCCAACTTGATATCCACAGATTCTTAGGGATAGCCAAAGGAATTTTAAAAAGCCTAATGAAAAGTATATACAGGCAAAATAAAACATCAGGTTTTTGTTTCGGTTTTGAGCTTCACACCAATGAAGTCAGTGTGGTAACATGGGGTATCTTACAGGGATTATAACCTCAGATTCCCTGTTGATAATGTTATAAAAAATAGGGTGGACAGAATAACAACAATGCAAGTGACAGCATTTACATGTATAAATGTGTATGGCAAAGTTCTAATAGTTGTTTCTTATTCACATACCTGTTCGTTGTCTTTTATGTGAGATCCTTCAGGAATTGCTTCTACACCCTTCTCATCACCTGTTCTTCTAGACGCATCTTTAAGAAATATAATCACTTTATCTTCTGGTAAGTACTCAGGGTCCCAAAGGAGCTGATCATCATTTTCATATACTAAATTAGTAAAAGACAGTGTTAAAAAAATTTCTAAAAACTGACAGAGTCTGTGTTAAAACATATTACTAAATAAACAACTCAGAGCCAAATGTTGAGAACTGAAGTATAGTGTGGTTCTACTGCTTGCCTGACTTCTTTCTTGGGCAACAACTATAGTTTAAGTGAATTAAACAATTTAAACAAAGAGGAGGTACCACTTTATACCCCCTGCAGATCCAGTCTGACTTTATCTTGAGTTTACCAAATTCCAAGCTCTCTTGGTTTGAATACCATCTCTACCACTTACTATGTGTATGATGACCTTGGGCAAATTATTTCCCTTCTGTCTCATCTGTGAAAGGAGGTGACAGTAACTCTACCACATAGTTTTAAGGATTTAAAGCACTTTACAATCATTCTGGCACATATTAAAATCCTATAATTGTAACTGTAACTACTGTTTTTGAAAAAATGTCTAGAAGAATGCTCACCAAATGTTAACACTGCTTAATTCCTGGTGGTGGGATTTGAGGTAAATTTTACTTTATATTTTCTGTAATGCTTGAGTGTATAATGTGTATAAATCACTTTCACAAAAACAAAAGTCATTACTTTTTTAAAGGTATTTAAGTTTCATCATAATTTCCATTATAAGATTAAAGCCTAAATCTAATTAAAACTCAAAAAGTAAGGAAAGGAGGATGACCTAAGACAAATCCTGTGGAATTCTAAATGATAAGAAGAAAACATGGATAAAATTCGAAAGTCACAAATAGAAGAAATACCAAGAATGTCACCTCACAGACGCTAAGGGAAGAGAGTGTTTCAAAGAAAAGCTTCAAAGACTGGTTAAATTCTGTTGAGTGATGAGGATGAAAATTGAAAAGGTTATGCCAGCTTTACTAACAAGGAGGTGAATGCTGTGAGAACTTTCTGTAGAGAGACAGAAGCCACACTGGATAAGATTGAAAATGGAAAGTGAAGAAATAAGACTGTTGAAAAGTTTAGTTATGATAGAGATAGGGGAGTAGCTAGAGAGTAGAGTTGAAAAAAGTTTTTATGTTTTTTTGGTTTGTTTTCAAAGATGAGGCAAACGTGTAAATGCCAAAGGAAGGAGCCAGCCTGAGAAACATTTTGACTTTAAGAGACCAAGAATAACAGTGTCAAAGTTTCTTTTATTATGAAAAGAAATTAACAGCTAATTAAGCATATCCTATGTACCAGGCAATGAATTTTTTTTTTTTAGATGAAGTCTCGCTCTGTTGCCCAGGCTGGAGAGCAGTGGTTCGATCTCGGCTCACTGCAACCTCCGCCTCCCAGAGTAGCTGGGACTACAGGCATGTGCCACCACACCCGGTTATTTTTTGATTTTTTAGTAGAGACAGAGTTTCACGTTAGCCAGGATGGTTCTTGATCTCCTGACCCCATGATCTGGTTCTCGATCCGACCCTGTCACCTGCTCACCTCAGCCTCCCAAAGTGCTGGGATTACTACAGGTGTGAGCCACCGCGCCCAGCCGTATTATTTTCACACAAATTATCATGTCTCCTCACCCACACACACTTCAAAACCTTCTTCTATCTTTCCTTGTTTCCCAAAACACTTTTGTTTAAAGTACAGCTCAAAGGAAAATATTTAGAAAATTTTCCTTAATAAACATCATTCCTTTTCTAATCTGCTGGTACAATCCTAGTTATACCCTAAATTATAAATACAATAAAACTACCATGATAAAATGAATCTGGATATACTGCTATTGATTTCTATTCTCTGCTCAGCCTCTGTTCTCTGCAGACTAAATTATATTCTTATATAATTTATATTCTTATATAATATACTTATATTCTTGGGATTTTTAGGGTAGACAAGGCCATACAAGGAAACCCTAACTCGGAAATAATTCAGCCACCTATTCACTTAGGCACCAAATGTTTACTAAGTGCCTATGGGGCAAGGATCGACCTACTTACTAGTAAGGCTACAAAGATGAGCAAACAAAAGGTTAAAATACACTGTTGTTAGTATAAATGATAACTTACATGAATTTAGGAAAAAGTTAAGTGTAGCTTAGGAGATTTTGTAACTAAAACAGACAAAAGTCCAAAGGAGCATGCCTGGAATGTTGTTATAACTAACGAATCATGTTTATTTAACTGTCTGAATTAGGAGTGCTAACCAATGAAGAATATATAATCTGCATGGAGAATAATTAAAAAAGTCGGATGGCAGAGAGAAAAAATTTGTGTCTCTCCAAGATACTAGGTAAGGAGGTTTCCATGTATCAATGAAAAGGAGAATTCTGATCCATTCGTTAAGTAATCCCTACAATAAAGATATCAGGATATCTTAGTTTTGTGGCACTTAAAAAAAAAAAAGTCTGTGCTCACGAAACTCATGAGAAACATCTTGTGAAATGTTTTCCACAAGAATGCACTCATCAGCACTGTCCCTTTGACAAGTTTTATTTCTAACAGCATAGTTTACCTAATAGTGTCACGAATTTGGTTTGTAGTATAGGGTATCCTAAGTGGAGACAAATTCCGGGTATCTTGACAAAAGTTTGAGTTTGAGGAGTGCCCCTTTACCACAGCAATCCCTCCAAAGCAATCTCATTCTGCTAAGTTTAGTCTATCCTCCTTACACAAACTAATATACTTAAATTCTCAAAAAGAGAAAGCTTCATAAATCACTCATTCCTGAAAAAAATTACATATGTATACTTTCTAAAATCATGTTAAAATGGAAAATATTAAGTTAGAATTTAAACCATGAAAAAATCAGAACAATTAGACAAGAGAAAGATATAAAGGCAATCCAAATTAAAAAGGAAGAAGTCAAATTATCCCTGTTTACTGATGATAAGATCTTATATTTGGAAAAACCTAAACACTCCACAAAAAAACTATTAGAACTGACAAATTCAGTAAAGCTGCAGGATACAAAAATCAACATATAAAAATCAGTAATATTTCTATATGTCACCAAGTCAACATTCTGAAAAGGAAATCAAAAGACTAATCCCATTTTAAACAGCCACAAATAAAATCAAATACCTAGAAATTAACCAAACAAGCGAAAGATCTCTATAATGACAACTATAAAATATTGACAAAAGAAATTAAAGAGGACACACACACAAAAAAAGGAATGATATTCCACGTTCATGGATTCAAAGAATCAGTGTTGTTAAAATGTCCATACTACCAAAAGCAATCTACAGATTCAATGCAATCCTTATCAAAATACCAATGACATTCTTCACAGAAGCAGAAAAAAAGTTCCTAAAATTTATATGGAACCATAAAAGGCCCAGAATAGCCAAAGCTATCCTAAGCAGAAAGAATAAAACTGGAGGAATCACATTACCTGACTTCAAATGATACTACAGAGCTACAGTAACTAAAACGGCATGTACTGGCATAAAAATAAGACATACAGAACAGAACACAGGACCCAGAAACAAATCATATACCTACAGTGAACTCGTTTTTGACAAAGATGCCAAGAATGTACACTGGGAAAAGACAGTCTCTTCAATAAATGTTGCTGGGAAACTGGATATCCATATGCAGAAGAATGGAACTAGACCCCTATCTTTTGTCACATTCAAAAACCAAAATAGATTAAAGACTTACATCTAAGACCTCAAACTATGAAACTGCTACAATAAAATACCGAGGAAACTCTGCAGGACACTGGACTGAGGGCAAAGATTTCCTGAATAATACCCCACGAGCACAGGCAACCAAAGTAAAAATAGACAAATAGGATCACATTAACAAGCTTTTGCACAGCAAAGGAAACAAAGAAACAACCTACAGAATGGGAGAAAATATTTGCAAACTACCCATCTTAGAAGGCACTAATAAATAGAATATATAAGGAGCTCAAACAACTCTATTGAAAAAAAGTCTAATAATCTGATTTAAAAATGGGCAAAAGATCTGAATAGACGTTTCTCAAAACAATACACACAGATGGCAAACAAAGTGCCCATCAACAGATGAATGAATAAAGAAAATGTGGTACTTATACACAATGGAGTACTATTCAGCCATAAAAAAGAATAAGATCCAGTCATTTGCAACAACATGAATGGAACTGAAGGTCATTATGTTAAGCAAAGAGTCAGGCATGGAAAAGACAAACATCCCATGTTCTCACTTATGTGTGGAATCTAAAAGTTGAAACAATTGAACCCATGGAGATAGAGCAGAAGGATGGCTACTAGAGGCTGGGAAGGTCGGTGTGGGAAAGGGGTGAGAGAGAGGTAGGGATCATTAATGGGTACAAAAAAACAGAATAACGCCTAGTAGTTGACAGCACAACAGGGTGACCATAATCAATAACTTAATTGTACATTTTTAAAGAACTAAAGGACTATAACTGAATTGTCTGTAACACAAAAGATAAATGCTTGAGAGGATGCATACACCATTTGCCATGATGTGGTTATTACACATTGCATGCCTGCATCAAGACATCTCATGCACTCCATAATTATATATACCTACTATGTACTCACAAAAATTAAAAATTAAAACTAAGCATAAATAATAAGAGAATGTGATCATTCACTGTTGATATATGATAATACAAACATTAAAATAAAAAAGTATACTGCAATAAAACTATTTTCAACTATAAATTTATAATAATATAAATACTAAAATATAAACATAAAATACGTGCTATTATCTTTCATTGTCAAAACTGAAAAGAAATTTAATAAAAAGAAATGTCTGACTTTCAGTTCTTCATTTATTTGCAGAAAGAAAAACCTCAATGGAGAACACTGCTAACCACTATATAAGTAAAGCATAAAACTGACATTTCAATTACAAAAATAAATACAAAAGCCAACAGATCATTTATTTTGGTACACAATTATGTGTTCACAGAACGTATCATATGTACAGAATTTCCATATGTAATAAAGTCACTCCATACTGCTAGCTTCAATGTTCCTATATATTGCAGGAATTACCTTGAGAAATAAGTGGTAGCTATTAAACATTTAAATGATGTATTAAAATATATTGCTATCACAAAAACTGTACTGGCCTGTGATGTTCCCTTGACTGCCTCTGACCTGCTGCTTGCCCTGAGATAGGTGCATACTTAGAATATAAAGTAAGTTTTTGGAGAGAATGCTAAAAAGAAATAAACAACAAAAAACTTCTATTTATGTAACTCCAAAGGGTTTCGTGTATGTTAAGTTGAAATGTGAAGAAAACTGAAATAAAAGAAATAAATATTTCTAGTGCTGAGTGATGTCACACTGCACATGAACTCATTAAACACACACACATGGCCAGGCGCAGTGGCTTCATGCCTATAATCCCAGCACTTTGGGAAGCCTAGGGCAAATGACCTGAGGTCGGGAGTTCAAGACCAGCCTGACCAACATGGAGAAACCCTGCCTGTACCACAAATACAAAATTAGCCAGGCATGGTGGTGCATGCCTGTAATCCTAGCTACTTAGGAGGATGAGGCAGGAGAACTGCTTGAACCCGGGAGGCAAAGGTTACGGTGAGCCAAGATCGCACCATGGCACTCCAGTCTGGGCAACAAGAGCTAAACTCTGTCTCAAAAAAAAAAAAAAAAAGGACACATACACAGCATTCTTTCTGGAACTCACATGAAGTGAATAATCTGAAACAGCCTCTTTAAAAAAAATCTTCGGCCAGGTGCAGTGGCTCACGCCTGTAATCCCAGCACTTTGGGAGGCCAAGGCAGGTGGATCACGAGGTCAGGAGATTGAGACTATCCCAGCACTTTGGGAGGCTGATGCAGGCATATCACTAGGTGAGGAGTTTGAGACCAGCCTGGCCAACACGGCGAAACCCCATCTCTACTAAAAAACACAAAAAAACTAGCTGGGCGTGGTGGCAGACATCTGTAATCCCAGCTACTCAGGAGGTTGAGGCCGGAGAAACACTTGAACCCAGGAGGTGGAGGTTGCAGTGAGCTGAGATGATGCCATTGCACTCCAGTCTGGGCAACAAGAGCAAGACTCCATCTCACAAAAAAAAAAAAAAACAAAAACAAAAAACCAAAAAAAAAACCCTTCAAGTATTATGTTATTGTAAGTATGACTTACTTCAGGACTTTCAAATGAAATGAAAAAAAAAACAAAAAAAAATGTAAAATTTAAGTATAGAAGTTGAGGCCTGGCGCGGTGGCTCAAGCCTGTAATCCCAGCACTTTGGGAGGCCGAGACGGGCGGATCACGAGGTCAGGAGATCGAGACCATCCTGGCTAACACTGTCAAACCCCATCTCTAGTAAAAAAATACAAAAAACTAGCCGGGCGAGGTGGCGGGCGCCTGTAGTCCCAGCTACTCGGGAGGCTGAGGCAGGAGAATGGCGTAAACCCGGGAGGCGGAGCTTGCAGTGAGCCGAGATCCGGCCACTGCACTCCAGGCTGGGCCACAGAGCGAGACTCCGTCTCAAAAAAAAAAAAAAAAAAAAAAAGTTGTTGTTTTCCCAAATTATTTTTAAAACACAAACATCAAAGTACTCCATTTTTGCTTTTTTTTTTTTTAGACGGAGTCTTGCTCTGTCACCCAGGCTGGAGTGCAGTGGCACGATACTGGCTTACTGCAACCTCCGCCTCCCAGGTTCAAGTGATTCTACTGCCTCAGCCTCCTGAGTAGCTGGGATGACAGGCACGCGCCACGACGATGGGCTGATTTTTGTATTTTTAGTAGAGATGGAGTTTCACCATGTTGGTCAGGCTGGTCTCGAACTCCTGACTTTGTGATCTGCCTGCATCAGCCTCCCAAAGTGCTGGGATTACAGGCGTGAGCCACTGCACCTGGCCCAAAGTACTCCATTTTAATAAGCATTCCATTTTGCTTACTGAAAGTTTTAGGAGCAAATAAGCTTTTTATGTCAGTTACTCATTCTCGTTTGTTTTTATGCCTTTCACTGATATAAAATGGACGTTTAAAAACTGAATTATAAAGGTTAGAAAAGGGTTAAAATTTAGAGCACTGAAAATACGGGGAAAAAGGTAAAAAAAACTGTTGAGACATTGTAAGTCACTTTTAAAACGAAAAAAAGCATTTGCTTTTTCCTTTTCTGGCTAGGCTTCTATAGACCAAACTGAAAAAATTGAGTAAACATATTCTTCTCACAGGAATAATGAAGGGTTCTCTTTCACAAACCAATGGGGTTACAATGGGGTTACTTAGTAGGCTGTCATGTTCTTATCACATTTTACACATGAAGTAACAGTTCATTACACTGAAAGCATAAATTCAGCTATGTAACTTTACTAATAACCCACCTTTTTCATTTTCTTTGTATCTACAAATGCCAACTGGAATTTCTGCTTGAAACATGGAGCCCACCATAATCTCCTATTTTAAAAATAACATAAAACATTAGTAAGATCTAGTAACAGATTTTATATCCATTTTCTAGCCTTACCATCTTAGTAAACTGTTCCTGGTTTCTCTGTCATAAAATACAAAAACAATTAACTACCTCAGAGGTACCTTTGTGAAGATGAATGACAAATAATGACTGGATGAAAATATTAGTAATAATAATGAGGTGAAATGCAACATAAACAATAAATACAAACTTTACTTCAAAATATAGAGACAAAGAAGTGAATTCTGATAACTTCATTAGTAAGATAACTGCAAAACCCGTAAAAAACAAAGCTAAATTCAGATATTTTCACAGTATCTACACTTAAGACAGTGGTCTTAAAATATGATCCCTGTATGAGCAGCATAGCATCAGTGTCACCTATGAAATTTTTGTTTTTTTGAGACAAGGTTTTGCTCTGTCACCTAGGCTGGAGTGATCATGGCTCACTGCAGCCTCAACCTCCCAGGCTCAAGCAATTCTCTCACCTCGGTCTCTGAGTAGCTAGGACTACAGGCACATGCCACCACACACAGCTAATGGAAAACTGTTAGAAATGCAAATGCTAAGGTCCCACCCCAGACCTACAGACCTACTGGAACTCTGGGGACAGGACTCAGTCATTGGTATTTTAATAAGCTCTCTAGGTGATTCTGACATACACTGAAGTCTGAAAAACAGAGCTTCAAGTTAAGAAAAATAACAAAAAGGGTTTGTATAAAGCTCAGCAGGGGCCAAATGAAAGAAACTCTAAACAAAATAGATAAAGCAGGTTATGGTTTGACTTTCATTAAAACAATACAAAATGAAAAACCTCCTCCCACAAATATAATTAAATAGGAAATCTAGTAATCAAATCTATATAGTCAAATCACAGATTAGGTGAAACTGGCTGTTCTGAAAAGCAACTGGAAACTACCACTGGTGAAATTTCACAATGCAAGGAGACCAAGATTACAGTACCCTCTTTTGTCTGATGGCTAAATGTTAAGAACACACTGACATTTTCAAAATTGGGCATGGAAGGTACAAAATCATGGTCTAGAAGTTTTGATAACTCTTAGGATTTGGAAAATCTCTCTCCTGCTATTATTACCCCACTGATGTGAGGATCTCATTTTATCCAGTACAACTTCAAAGACATGCTTTATGTAATAAAGTTATTGCTATACCTAAAAGAAAATCCAATCCTTCTCATGATCAGTTTTCTAAAAGAATCAAACTTACAACAAATTTTCTCTACTCTTACAATGGAATTCTCTTTATGTCTTCTACTATAAAAAGAGTCCTTTATTGTCACATCTTGGGCCTCTTTTAATTTAACTCACCTATGCCTACCAAAGAACACTGTCACATTACTAACCCTGGCTGGGGTGCTTCTAAACGATCAATGCCTGGATCAATCGCAGGACAATTAAATTAGAATCTATGAATGAAGGCCCTGGTAGTCAGCACCTCTAAGTTACCCAAATGATTCTAACATAAAAACAGGGTTGAGAACATCTGGATTAGTATAAAGATAGGTACTTCCTTTTTCCTGTTCAGTTCTGAACATTTCTTTTCATCTGTTAATTTGTTGTATAGTACAGGGAAGAGAAGGGAAACAGCTTTGAAGATCATTATATGTAATGTTATCATATATGTAATTTTCCTTTAATCTTTCAAGCAAGCCCCATAAGGCTGACATTGTTATCCCTATACTACATGTAAGAAGAAGATGCTCAAAAATTTGATTTTCTCAGAAGCACACAATTACTAAGTTCTAGAGCTATAACTAAAATTCAGATTTGACTTCAAAACTGTTTCCCCTACCTTGTTTCTATAAAAACTCAATTTCGTAAATCTTTTTTTTTTTTTTTTTTTTGAGACGGAGTCTCGCTCTGTCACCCAGGCTGGAGTGCAGTGGCTGGATCTCAGCTCACTGCAAGCTCTGCCTCCCGGGTTTACACCATTCTCCTGTCTCAGCCTCCGGAGTAGCTGGGACTACAGGCGCCTGCCACCTCGCCCGGCTAGTTTTTTGTATTTCTTAGTAGAGACGGGGTTTGACAGTGTTAGCTAGGATGGTCTCGATCTCCTGACCTCGTGATCCGCCCGTCTCGGCCTCCCAAAGTACTGGGATTACAGGCTTGAGCCACCGCGCCCGGCCAATTTCGTAAATCTTTAAAAACAAAAAAAATGAATCTCTGAACCTTGACAATTATTTACAACAACAAAATCACACTGAAAGAAAACAATCTGCATTTACTCTGGCCTGCTTTATTACATAATTTTTTTTCTGAGAAAGGTGTGGTTAATTAATACCCTTTCTGAGTAAGGTATGGGTAATTAATACCCTCCAGCAATGAAGGTGTTCTACCTCTTAGCTTTTGTTCTTGCATTTAAAAAAAAGCACTGAATGCTTAATCAAATACTCTACTGAACACTCCAGATTAAAAAAACAACATATGTTGAAGATACATAAACTTGAATATGTAGTGGGACAGCAATTTAAAAGGACTCCCATGGTTTCTAGCTTTTTTCATCTTAATTTCTGCTTACTGCAGGAATCAGATTAAAAACAGGATGAAAGAACCATTGCCCAAATGGGCCACACAAATAAACTTTTGTGATTCTTGTTTTCTGTCTTGAGTTCCATCATTTGCTCAAATTAACACATACCGCACACTGGGCTAATCTTGTCTCTCAACAAAAATAACATTATTTCTTTTATATAAATGATTTGTTTTAACCAGTTCTACATAAAAAATTTTTTTGAAGACATGGGGTCTCACTAGGTTGCCCAGCCGGGTCTCAAACTCCTGGGCTGAAGTGATTCCGCCTACCTCAGCCTCCCAAGCTGGGACAACAAAGGAAAACATCATTGCAACCAGCTAATTCTACATAACATTTTGACAGATTTTCCTAAGAGCTCAGTTCTTTTACAATAACTTAAAATTCTTTAACTTAACTGTATGATTAATTATATGCTATATATTTTATAATTAAAAACTAATCTCAATATATTATCTTTAAATTCATTTCAGAAATTAAGTTGTATATAGTTATGAAGAAGCCAAATCTGTTTCTTCACACAATAAGCTTACCAGTTATAAATGTCAACATTAAATCCAATCATTTGGAGAGTTTTCCTTTTATAAAGTAATACAGAATGAAAAACTTACAAACTACTAAACAAAATTTACTTAACAAATATCAAAGCCTCCACAATTGCTTTCCATAATATTGAAAAATATATATATGATACTTTTTACAGGGCAACAAATGCCTAATTCAGTACTACTTCAGGACTAAATCAGAAATGTGGATTTTTGTTTTATTTTTTGTTTTGTTTTATAAAATGAGACAGGGGGCCAGGCATGGTGGCTCAAGCCTGTAATCCCACCACTTTGGGAGGCTGAGACAAGCAGATCACGAGGGCAGGACATGGAGGCCATCCTGGCTAACATGGTGAAACCCCGTCTCTACTAAAAAAACACAAAAAACTAGCCGGGAGTGGTGGCGGGCGCCCATAGTCCCAGCTACTCGGGAGGCTGAGGCAGGAGAATGGCATAAACCCGGGAGGCAGAGCTTGCAGTGAGCTGAGATCCGGCCACTGCACTTCAGCCTGGGTGACAGAGCGAGACTCCGTCTCAAAAAAAAAAAAAGAGACAGGGTCCCGCAATGCTGCCCAGGCTGGTCTCAAACTCCTGGGCTCAAGCGATCTGCCTGCCTCAGCCTCCCAAAGTGCTGGGATTACAGGCGTGAGCCACCACACCCGGCCAGAAATGTAGATTTCTAATCTTATTTTGAGTGCCAACTTCCTCAACAAAATCCAATCCTTTAAATTCATTTTATTTTATAAAAAGATAAATATATCTCTAACCTAGATGTGTTAAGGAATCTGAACATTTACCAAACATTTAAATGTCATAAAAGGGCTTACATCGATTTTATCAATATACATAGTTAGTAAAAAATAATTACACTAGGCTTTTAAAAAAATATTAATTTATCTAAATTTTGGGAAAATATTGTTCTAACTACCTTTTTCCAGTCTTCTGATGGAATGTAATCTTCATCTTCTTCAGATTCTTCTTCTACTTCACTGTCTAGAATAAATAAGACACCAATACTATAAAATGACTGCTTAAGCTGTCTACATCTACAAATTATTTTTACATCTACCATCAAATATTTGGATATGCTCAAAAATATCTAATGAATTAAGCCAAGATATTTCTAACCAAATAATTAACACCCTATCACTTAAAAAAACAAAACCAAAAAAACCATTAACTTTCTACGTAACTGTATTCTCATGAAATGATTTCCTATAAAAACTTATGGGAAAAAACAGATTTAGAATAAAGATAATATTACCTTACTACATATTTCATGACAGTTTATTTTTCTTCAAGTGTTTTTCTTCTTTTTAAACTAGAGAAATTTAGGTGTATTTATCAATATACCTAAAAAAGGCTAAGAGGCAAAGAAAGTAAAACATGGAAACTAAGGGAAAGCCTATGAGAAATAAAAAGACCATGAAACAAACATTTAAAAACAGGGCAAGGAAAAAACAAATACAACTGAAGTCAAGCAGTACATGACACAATTACCGTAGTATATTCACTAACAACAGGGACCGTGCATTACTAAACTAATAACTTACAATAAAAATCCATTTACTGTTGAAAAGAATTTCAGACTAAATGAATTTAAAGACCAGTTTAAAAAATGAGGATTTTAGGTAATACCTAAAATAGTAAAAATTATATTCAAATATTATCAACCAGTAACACTTACTTGTATCAAAATATTTACATCGACGTGGGCGGATAATTTCCTGGGCATCTTGAGAAGCAACAGATTGTGATGGATCATCATTGGAAGACTGAGTTTCATCCTCCTGACCTGATGAATCCTTTATATTCTCCTCCTGAGGAATAATAAATTTAATTTCTTTAAGATGTAAAGAAAATGGTTGCAGATGAAAGGCCATAGCATATAAATTTTGTTCTAATATAAGCAGAAGACTAAAATGAATATACTAGATGTAATATCGTATTCTGGGTTGGATCCTGCAACAGGAAAAAGTACATTAGCAGGAAAACTGGTATAATTCAATCTGCAGTTACTAGCACCGTACCAAGATGTTAACCTCAGCAGAAGCGGATCACACAGGAACTTTCTATACTAGCTTTAAAAGTTTTATAAATCTAAAATTATTTCAAAATAAAGAAAAATAAACACAAACTGCCAATTAGCCTTCATTATTTAAAAGCAATAGCATTTTTTTGAAAGTTGGTATAAATGGCCAGGTGTGGTGGCTCACGCCTGTAATCCCAGCACTTTGGGAGGCCAAGGCGGTTCATGAGGTCAGGAGATTGAGACCATCCTGGCTAACGTGGTGAAACCTTGTCTCTACTAAAAATACAAAAACTTAGCCAGGCGTAGTGGTGGGCGCCTGTAGTCCCAGCTACTTGGGAGGCTGAGGCAGGAGAATGGCGTGAACCTGGGAGGCAGAGCTTGCAGTGAGCCAAGATAGCGCCACTGCACTCCAGCCTGGGTGACAGAGTGAGACTCCATCTCCAAAAAAACCACACAAACAAAAAAAGAAAGTTGGTATAAATAAATTAGAATAAGCACTGGAAAAAAAAGAAACCTGAAACGAGAAGACCAAACTGTTACCTCTCAGGAGCAGATTACAGGGGATTTCCAATTTTTATGTTATGTATTTCTGTAATATCTTAATGTTTAACACTTTTAAAATCAGGAAAAGTAAAGATTATAAAAACAAGTAATCAAAATGTATTAAGAAATTTTAACTTCAACAAGAATAAAGACTACAATCTTAAATATATGTATGTACACTTACTTTATTTTCCCCACTACAGCCACTGTTGTCATCATTATCAGCATCTTCATCATCTTCACCTTCTTCTTCCTCTTCCTCCTCTTCCTCATCTTCTTCAGGTAGTCGAACAGTACTACCATAACCATAAAGGCTGAGAAGTTCATGAATTGGCATGTCACCTTCCTAAATAAATAAAAATAAAAGTTAATTTCTGAATCAGTGATATTTCTGATTCCCAGGCTATAATCCACAAATCTGTGGAGTATTCATTCTATACTGAAGAATAAAAGCTGTATCATGAATTCTCAGATCATAATAAAGTAAAATTGAAAATATTTCGGAAACCCATGAATATCCCAATCTTTTTAGTATTTCTATAAAATTAACCAATTCCAATTGCTGACAAGATTTTTAAGTATAATTAAAAAGTAGCCTTGGTCTAACATGGACTATTCTTTTTGCAATCAATTCAATATATGCACAATGACAGTTAACGCTATGCATGGATGCCCACTCTTAATAAGAGTACCATACTTGAGGGTGGAGAAATAGAACGAGAATTAGACTATAAATTAAGTTAACAAACCCAGAAAGGCAGATGAAATTCAGAGCATCCAGAGCTCAGCCCGAACACATGAAAAAACAAAACAAAACAAAACAAAAACCAGTAGTAATATACAGAAATGATAATGGACTACATTAACCATATATTCTTTTCTATGGTTATCTCCATTTACACATAAAATTATCTCATGCAATCCTTACCATCTATCATACCGACTTGTTATATTATTTCCATTTCATAGATGAGAAAACATAGGCTGACAGCTTAAGCATTTCTTCAGAAATCACACAAGTTACAAGGAGTAGAGCCAGATTTAAACAGTCTAACTCCAAAAGCCCATATTCATATCAATACACCACGGTGCCTTGGCCAGGGACTTCCCTCAATCCCCACAAAAATCAGACCCTCTGTGGATGCAAAAGAAATGTCCATATGCAATGAAATGAGATCAGCTTTCTATACAAACTACTCACTCTAACCAGTAAACAAGAAAACAAGAAATGCACAGCATCAGGGAAACGTTAACAGAATTCTGATTATAAAAAGAAAATTTAATCCAAATCATGTGAACACATTATACACTCATGCACACCCACATACAATGCACATGGTCTGAAGCAAAACAGTCAAAAAATCATCAGTTTAGAAGCTAGAAAAAAAGGGTAATCATGAATAAGACATGGTTCATATTTCTCCAGCAGTCATGGAAAGAAAGAAATAAGTCTAGCTAGTGTGTTAAACACATTGCTACAATGGGTATGGGTAAATCAGACTGGATTAGATGACACAATTAACCTCCATCACTCAAAATCCATGTGAGAAAAAATTAATGATTATAATTTGAAAAGATTTTCTTATGAAGAACTAGGAAGAAGGCATCATCCAAAACTTCTATCTCACATTACAAATGGATATTCTGGTTATGAATGTTTGTGAATCTATTTCTGAAAGATAAATCAATTCCAAGACCCCTAATGATTTGCAGAAGCTACAACCTGAAAAAGTGGTAACTTTATCAAGGCAAGATATTGCCACTCTAGCTAAATAAGCCGCTGGCAAACAACTGATAGCTCTTATACTGTGTTTCTCAAAGTACAACACCAACAGTGCTTTAAGTGTTCAAGTATCTGGTCCATGTACCAAGGATCTGGTACAGGACATTGGTTATTTGGGAATGTGGGAAGTCAGTCCTTAGGAACTAAAACAAAACTTCGAAATAAGAGACAGAAGTGTAATAAGAGAAATGTAATGAAAAGGCTAGATTTATTTTTTTGAGACAGAATCTTGCTCTGTCACCCAGGCTGGAGTGCAGTGGCATGATCATGGCTCACTGCAGCCTCAACCCACTGGGTTCAAATGATCCTCCCACCTCAGCCTCCCAAGTAGCTGGGACTATACATGTGCACCACCATGCCTGGTTAATTTTTGTATTTTTCATAGAGAAGGGTTTCACTATGTTGCCCAGGCTGGTCTCAAACACTTGGGTGCAAGCGATTTGCCCACCTTGGCTTCCCAAAATGTAGGATTGGAAACGTGAGCCACCGTGCCCAGCATAAAGCTAGTTTTATACACAAGAATAACAAATAGCTGCCATAAAGTGTCTTCTATGTGTCAGGCATTTGTGATAGGTGCTTTGATTTCATTGTCTTTTTTTCTTGCAACAATGAAAGCAGTGTCAAAACACACAATTCCATTAAATCTGCACTGATAGAGACTTTATTATAATACCCAGACCTCCTAATCTCAGGTCATTTAACTTTGCTTAGGCTCACACCCTGCACCCCAAAATCAGAAGCAAGTTTAGCAACTGATCACTATTGTGAAGAAAAGCCACTGAAGTCACTAGTATGAATAAGGGCCCCAAAAAGATAAAACATAAGCATAACAGTTTGCAACTAAAATTTACATAGGCCTTAAGAGTTCATGAAAAACTTGTTTCATTATTTGATCCTCAAAACTATCCTGTTACTACTACCTTTAATTTTTATAACTGTGTTATAACTAATCCTTTGAAACCACACAGCTAATTACACAGCCGTGCTCTATTTTGAACTCATCTTCTGACAAGATCATGGTACTTGGTTCACTCCAAAAAAAGAGGTGTATAATCAACCAAATAAATGCCCTCAGGCTCTCTACCATTGGTCTGTCTTAAGGGCATCCGAATTACCTTGAGGGTTTACTAAAACGGGCTGCTGAGCCTCACCCAAGTTTCTGACCTAGTAAGTCTCCAGTGACGCCTGAGAACCTACAATTAAAAAAAGAAAAAAAAAAAATCTCAGGTGATGCTAATGCTGCTGGTATGAGACCACCTTGGAAACCACCAATCTCACAGGTCTGGATGAGATACCTGCAAATCACCTTATCCAATGGGAGGTAATAAAGCTTGAACATTAACTTTAATAAAGCTTATCATATGACATATGATAGCCAGCTCAAATATTTGTCAAAAGGATAGGTGACATACTAACTACATGGAGAAAAAATTTTTCTTTTTTAACCATTATCAAGAATGTAGAATGTCTGACAATCATAGTTAGATTAAGGTTTTTCCCTCTTGGATATACAGATGAGAAGTGTGACTCACTTTATAAAAATTCATTTCTCAGGCCAAGCGCAGTGTCTCACGCCTGTAATCCCAGCACTTTGGGAGGCTGAGGTTGGCAGAACACTTAAGGTCAGGAGTTCAAGACCAGCCTGGTCAACAAGGCAAAACCCCAACTCCACTAAAAATACAAAACAATCAGCCACAGGCATGGTGGTGCACACCTGTACTCTCAGCTACTCAGGAGGCTGAGGCAGGATAATTGCTTGAACCCAGGAAGCAGAGGTTGCAGTGAGATGAGATCATGCCACTGCACTCCAGCCTGGGTGACAGAGTGAGACTGTCTCAAGAAAAAAAAAGGAAAAAGGAAAAAGAAAAAAATTCATTTCTCAAAGAAAAATTCTCCAACACCTCCAATATTGACTAAGCAGAGAACAGAGAGTCAAAAGTGGCCTGATGACAGTGCATTTAGAGGGGGAATGCTTGAATTACAATCGTAATAGAACTGGCACAGATGGAGAAAAATCATTCAAGTCACAGCAAATGACAAATGCACAGGTACAGAAACAAAAATGAATAATCCAGTCACCCTGATTAGAGCAGACATACCATTTATAGTAACTAAAAAAAAAAAAAGTATCATTTCAGAAGGCTACACATTACTGAAAGATCAGTTACAGATTAATGAAAGTGAGGATTACTATTTTTAACTACTTTCTCTGGTTCTATGTAATTTTTAAAGGGATCTGTTATATTCCTGACTCAATTTGAGCATACTGAATGGTTACTAACACTATGGAAGTATTTAGGGGAAATTACACACACAATAAAACACTCAACATGAACTTAGGCAGGGGAAGATTTAGTTTGCTTGCCAAGCAGACTGAGCCAAGTGGGAATCCACTGCTATCATTCACTACACATTCACCTGTATTATGATCAGAAACTAAATGAAATTAGTGGTTGTGGAAAAGAAAAAATTTAAGAGACGAAACAGGATTCAACCAGGGATTAGGAGAGATGGAGGTCCTGGTGATGCTGAATCCCTGGTTCCATATATTCCTTGTACCCAACTACACATTCATATACCTTCTAATAGTTTATTTTTACACAAGGTTATTTTTAGATGGGTTTTATCAAATGTAAACAAAATATCCTTACTTACTCAATCAACAAAATGCTTACTTATGCTGGGCGCAGTGGCTCACACCCGTAATCCCAGTACTTTGGGAGACTGAGGGGGCAGATCACTTGAGGTCAAGAGTTCAAGACTGGACTGGCCAACATGGTGGAACCCCACCTCTATTAAAAATACAAAAACTAGCCAGGCATGGTGGTGCTGGCATGTAATCCCAGCTACTCAGGAGGCTGAGGCAACTGCTTGAACCCAGGAGGCAGAGGCTGCAGTGAGCCGAGACTGTGTCACTGCACTCCAGCCTGGGCGACAGAGTAAGACCCTGTCTCAAGAAAATTTAAAAAAAAAAGAAAAAAAAATGCTTACTTAATAGTATTAAACTTGTAACTCAGCTGTCACCCAATATCAGGTGAGTAATATCAGTTTAGTAAGCAACAAAGAAAAAATCATCACCACCAAAAATACAACTTGAAGCATGACAGCATAAAAAGTCTCTTATTTAATCTAAGGTAAAAGTGAAAATCTTGCAGCAAACTCTGGGCTACACCTACGATAAAAACCAGAATCAATTTTGCTGAGGAATCCTGTTTCAAATTGCAATAGCATGTATTTGTGTTCCTGCTTTGTGCTAACTGAAGTACTTAAAGATTTAGCAAGCATAAACAAGCATCACATAAGGATTATTTATTTCCCCTGCAAGCCTCTCCTACTCTCTTCTACTTCTGTACTTTGAAATGTTCTTTCTTCCATTCCAAACATTTATTTTCCTTGAAAGTTCACCTCCTGGACCACAGCAGCTGACATAATTGGAATCACTGTATTCTCTGGCCATATATTTGGAGTGGGCACATGACCCACGCTTGTCCATACTTTGTTTCTGGATTTTTATCAACAGCAACTTAAGAAAGAAGCACAGACTATCTCAAGAAGTAAATGTG